AAAATCACCATTCTAAAGAGGGGGAATAAAAAAGCAGAAAATCAGATTCTGGTCTTTGAAATATTCTCTTTACAAAGTAAAACAAAGATAGGTCTAAACACATTTGGCATGTCACTAGCACTTGTGTAACCCAAACCTTTAAAACTATATCAAAGCTGGGGATTTAGCTCAGTGGTTCGGTGGCCTGCCGCCTGGTACCAAAAAAAAAAAACAAAACCTATATTAAATATAAACAGGAAATGATGAATGGAAAAATACAATTCAACTACATAGTATTTGGAAACCAGATGGTTAAGAGTGAAAATACAGCTGTAAACAAAATAACAAAAGAGAAATTCTTCTTAAATACTTTCTGGACTTTGTAATAAAAGACACTATGAACATAGATGTCTGCTGTATACCCAGAATGACAGTAAGACAGGATGTCAACATGTTTGGACATGTATTTTTCCAATGAGGCATTTACACATTTAAATTATGGTTATGATTGTCAAATAGTAACAGGTGGAAGCTTTCACATGCCAAAAAGCATAACAGAGTAGGAAAACAAAGTTTAGATAGAACAATAATACATTAGGCCTGAGTAAACAAGCACCATCACAAAAACTCTGGCTGACTTTACCTTCTTCTGGTAGCTGAGTATATGCAATATGTGACCCAACCATTTTTAATTCCTGAATGGACTGCCAAGTCCTGGAATCAATATTTAAAAATTTAATCCTCCAGTTAGACACTTTCTGAAATAATTGTGCCAATTCCTTGGACCTAACTCCTTCAGGGATTAGACTAAGACTACAGATACCTATGTCTATTAAAAGGGAGTCGTTAATATTTCCCTTGCCATTAAATGCAAGCGTATAGAGTATGCGAGTAGACTGGGTTAACAGAAACATTATCTGGTATGAATCACTTCAATTTAGTTTTTTTTTTGGGTACTGGGGATCAAACTTGGGACTTTGCTCTTGCAAGGCAGATGTTCAATTTAGTTTTAATTTGGCATTATAATTGGAAGGACAGAGTAATCCAAAAGTTGATATGGTATATAATACCAACTGAGACAAAAATATTTAGTGTGCCATGAGGAGCACCAGCAAAAATATAAATGCGCTTTCAATGGTCTGCGTGTTGGGAGAGAGAAACATGGTAATTATGCATGTATACCTTCCCATCCAAAGACTAGTCTGACAAGAGGTTACAGAGGATGAGTTTTCATCAGGTTCTTCAGAAGTGGAGCACTGAGCCAATACTCCTGCTGCTTGACTTGTGATATCTCTATAAAGCTGAATGAACTGGTACAAATTCATGATCCGTGACGCTTCTACAATGCCACTGCTTTTGTTAATCTAAAAACACAAAGAAAATGGAAAAAAAGAGGTGAGAGATGACACAAATATTTGTCAAACATCCTAGAAAACAGAAGTTTTCAAGTTTTGTAAATTACTTTAAAAAATTCAAAAGTTTGAATAAATGAATAACATGAACCCTTCACTTGTGAGGCTCAAAGAACTTATACAAGTTTGTCTCTCTCTTTTTTTTGGTACTGGTGATCGAATTCAGGACCTAATGCTTGCAAGGCAGGTGGCAGAACCACTGAGCTAAATCTTGGGCCTAAGTTTGTCTTATTTGATTGATTAGGCATCATCCTGTTTAGAGCTGATGAAGTTAGGTGACTTTCCCCAAGTTAAGAAATGAATTTTAGAGATTAGTTTTAATAATTCTTTTATTTTAATTTCTTAAAAAATTTTTTCATTAAGGGACTTACTTGATTCCAATAACCACTTGCCATTCTAAATGAAAAAAGAGAAGGCTTTCTTGAATATACTTTTTAAAAAGCTTCAAAAGAAATACAATTAAAAACTAACAGAAAGTGGTTGAATTTTGAACTGTAACAAAAACTCATTTAATATAGTGAGATTAATGGCCTAGAGATTGTAGCCCTACAGACTCTCCCCTTCCAATTTACAAGCCTATGTGAAAAGTTATTTAGGTCAATAGAGGAATGCTTCCATATGGCTTCAGGTAGTTAAGGAGTGGGGCATTTCTGAAATGACCAAGGACAGTAGGGTAAGGGTGAAATATCCTTGGATAAAGAACTTGAAGTAATCAAAGAAAGATCAGAAATGTTAAAGATTTACTTTTAGCACAAGAGATGGTAAAGATGGCAGGAGCAGAAGCCAGGAATCTACTAAACTGGACATCAAGTAAATAAAATAGGCAGAATCAGAAAATATTTAGAAAAACGTAAAGGATGCAAAGAGAGGTATATAGACAGAGAATGTTGGCCTAGCATGTATGAGGCTCTGGGTTCAATCCCCAGCATGAAAAAAGAAACAGTGTAAATAATAAGAAAACTATCACAGCAACATTTTAATATTTAAAATTAAAATAATAGTCATAACTATTATTTATAGCTTAATATTTCTAAAAGCAGTGAAAGAAAATACTGAGAATCAAGAATGAGTCAGATTCCATATTGTGAAAATGGAAGAATCATCTCTATCAAAAGTTGATTAAATTTTGGGATGGTAAGATCTATGTTGAGATGCAATTGTGTAATGTTCTTTGTAATAAGAGACCATAGATGGAGTAGAGAACAATAGAATTAAAAGGTGATATAGACTTGTAAAGGTTTACAGAATAGGCCTTCATAGCTGATGAAAGTGGGCCCATCTTTCTTTGGAACTGCATAGTACAGAAGAAATCACGGAGTAATTCAGAAAAGCTTAATAATACAAAAGCAAAGTTTATCACACTATAACTAGTCTAATCATAGGATCCTTCAATAAATACTTATAAGTAGCCATAACGCAGATGTTATGGCAGTATGTGCAATGCTCTAGGTATTAAAGACATAGTGTGTATAAAATAAAAAGCCCTGCCCTCATGCCAGTACATGATAGGCAGGAGAGACAGACAAATACTGATGAAGCTGGACAGAAATCGGGGTTATGGAGATGAAACTGGGGAGAAGGAATGCTAAAGGGCGGCAGGGGAGGCCTTACAGTAAAGATGACATTTAAGAACTGAAAGAAGTACAGGAACGAGTGATACACAGCTGTCTGGGGAAAAGGCTTTCACTTTAGAGACTAGTGTAAGGGCAAAAGCATACCTGGCGAGGAGCACAAGGAATCCAGCAAGGAGCCCAGAGTGGAAAAATGGTGGAGGATAAGGTTAAAGGGTGAGGCAGGGATAGAATACACAGAACTTTGCTGATTACAGTAATGACTTTGGCTTTTATTCCAAGTATATAGGGATCACTGGGGGTCTGTGAGCCAAGAAGTAATATGATCTGCTTTACATTTCAAATTATGATGTGGAATAGACTAGTTGTTGTGCTGAGAATAGACAGATGGGGTAGGGCTGGGGAACAGAAGCAGGGAGACTAGTTAGGAGGTGACTAACATAATCCTGGTGAGAGATAATCGCTAGCTAGGTATAGGGTGGAAGTATGGTGAGAACTAGCTAGATTCCAAACATATTTCTGAAGACAAAACTGACAGAACTCACTTATGGAATGACTGTGGAGTATAAGAAACAAAGAATCAAGTACCAACTATAAGGTTTTAGTCATACAAGGATGAAAAAATTATTATTCATAGTTTCTTAATATTATCTTAGTACATATTTTTAAATTAACCTATTAATTTTTCACACATTTCCCCCAAATATTGCATTTAAACTGTATTTTTAAAATAAACTAAATTTTACTTGAGGATAATCATAGCAGAATACACAATGTCACAATAAGGTCTTAACTGAAGATACAGAGGACAAAGTACAAGCTATTTTGAATTAAGGAAATAGCTTTCCCATTTCTGTAAGGTTTTCAAGTCCGATCTAACTCTTTCTAATGTAAACATTGACTTTCCAGGGTTTCTTTCAAAAAGAACCTAAAGAAGGCAAATAAAATTTTTTTCAAGTAGATCTAAAATCAAGAAAAAAAATTCACACAAAAGAAAGCTCTAATTGCTTTTGTCTTTAATACTTTTGTTTTTCTACTTAGAATCTTATGTCAAGGAAGATGTTTACACTATTGCTTACAGATGTAGTAGTTAGAGATATTGGGGTAAAAAGGAATTTCATTAATTAATAAAGTCAAACATTAATTCTGTGTTTGTCAAAAAGAAGTGACAGAAACCTAAAGGATCAAAAACATGATTGAGGGCCGGAGTTTTAGCTCAGTGGTTCCACCGCCTGCCTCGCAAGTACAAGGTCCTGAGTTTGTTCCCTGGCACCCCCACCAAAACATGATCGACTTCCATTTCCACAGTTTCCTATAATTTATACAGCCTCTTCTGTGAGCCAAGCACTTTATAAAATAAAGGTGGAGAGTGAATGTAATTTAGGTAATGTCATGTATGAACACATAAGGAAATCTTCATCCTATCCCAGTCATATAAGGTGAGAATATTTCTTCAACATATTTTTGATGTTTAAGTTCCTATCAGGTGCCAAGCACTGGATTTTCAGCTGTAAGGGACATAAGGATGGTTCCTGCCTCAGGGCTTACTATTTACTAGAGAGCTAAGAACGTAAATAATTTTATTTTTAATGTTGAATTTAATGGTGAGCAGGTTCCTTCTGCCAGGCAAGGATGTGACCCAACACTGATCACTGAGGTGAAAAGAGAGATTTGCTGGGTCTTTAAATTAATCAATCCTGGAGCTGGTTTATATTAGGAGTTCTTGATAAGGAGAAAATACTGCTTTCATTTAAACTGGCTTAACAGAAGTTTTCTGTGACTTGTAGCTGATGGCATGTTAAATGACAGAGGAATGAAACTTCTAATTGAGGGAAATCAATAAGAACTGAGGACTGAGGTGGGAAAAGTAATAGCCTAAATTAGTTAAGTCTGGTCAAAGTGCACAATGTAAAAGAAAACAGTTGTGAACAAAGCAGAAAAAATAATTTGGAGCCATATCATAGAGGGCCTGAGTGACACATTAAGGAGTTGGGTACAGTTTGTAGTCAATCAGGAATTTGAGGAATTTTAAGGAGGGCAATGAAGCAATGAGTTATGCTTTGAAAAGGTTATCTCACAGCAGCATAAATTAGAATTGTGAAAAAAGCATTGAGGTGTAAAGATTAATACAAAATCTATAGTAATTTGGACTAAAGAGTAAGGGGCCTAAACTATATAAGTACTTTCTTGAGGGGATGGAATTTGTCTTATCTATCATTTATTGTATTCCTAGTGCCTAGAATTCCTTGTTTGAATAAACTGGAAGTGAAACACACTAGAAGAAAAATTGATAATTCACTAGGGAAATCTGACATATTATTGAGGTTATTCTTGAAGTCTGTAACTCAAAAAAAAAAAAAAAATCTCCTAACCAGGCATTCTTTATGAGTTGGTTTGGAATGGACAACCAGTCATCTATGAACATCTCCATTTGGGCTTTCTATACATATGGGTCATTTTATTGACTATTCTTTGTGATAAAATAGGGATTACAATAGAAAGAAGCCTAATAAAATTTGTGCTTCTATTTTTGATCAAAGGCTATAGCTTCAAAAAGGGAAAGTATTGTCTATTCTAATCTACTCATTGGAGGATGGGTCTTTCCAATACTCTATGATGCTGCCATAACAATTTTAGCAGAACTGATATACTCAATTAACTAATATGTGAAGAAGGAACGGCATTACAGTGCACTGATAGTGAAAAATCCATTATATAAGTAAAAAATCATCAAAATAAATCAAACCTAAACTTTCTAATAGTTTTTTTAAATTAATGAAACCCAGTGTTCTTAAAGAAAAGATTTGAGATAAACTTTTAAGTTTTAAGGTGTCATCTTAGTTCTCAACAGTGTCACCACAGGACTCTATAGCCAGGTAAACCCAGAAGGTAACGAAAAGTTTACTAGCACCCATGTTTATAGCAGCATAATTTATAACAAATCTTGGAAGTAGCCTGTAGGTCCACCAACAGATGAATGCATAAAGTGTGGTACATACACAATGGAATATTACTCTACCATAAAGGATAAACTTCAGTCATTTGTAGGAAAATGGATGTACCTTGAGAATATAGGTTACATGAAATAAATCAGATATATAAGCTTAAATATTGCATGGTTTCTCTTATATAAGAAACCCAAAATATAAATAAAGAGCAAGATAAAAGATAGATGGGTCAAGGATTTAGCTCTGTGTTTCTGCCTCCTGCTTAGCAAGTACAAAGTCCAGAGTTCAATCCCCGGTACCAAAAAAAAAAAAAAAAAAAAGATAAAAGACAGATAATAAGAAAAAGGGAAATACATCTTTTGCAAAAGGGAAGGAGATAAAGTGGAGGGGGTTAAAAAAATTAAGATGTGTATGTACATGAACTAACTCCCCTCAAGAAACGTAATCATTATATATTGCAAACATGTACTAAAAAAAAAAAGTATTTCATGTTAAAAAAAAAAAATTCCTGCTATACATCTGTTATCAGATAACTGGCAAGATACAAAGAGTTGGCTGTAAGGCAACAACTGTATCAAAACTATGCTTTATGAAATCATAAATTACTAACATTTATTTCCACTAAATTATATTAAATTAATATAATATATTATATTATATTAAATGTGATTCTAACCCTCAAAATAGTTCAAGCACAGAAACGAAGTCTCTCTGAGTCTTACCTTGGTACAAACTACTCGTACAACCACTTTCCAAAACGCAGAGGAATCAGAACCAGGTTGTACCTCAAAGAGAAGATGTTTTTCCTGGCCAGCAGCCACTTTAGCAGTTCTGAAAACAGACAAGCATATCTGTCAATTTTATGAAAAGTTATACAAAATAATAGAACTATGAAACCAGATTCAACACTTTCAGGCAGAGATGGAAACATGAAGAAAAACACCAAGACAAATAATAACTGTAAAGCTCTTAATAACTGGATTCTTAAAACACAGGAATGTTTCAAACATAAATATACAACTTAATTTCCAAGTTTTTAAAAGTCAATGGCTTTGTGGATTTATATTTATAAGTCCTTCTGATTTATAAATCCTCTCTCTCTCTCTCATTGTTTTAAACTTCTAGCAAACCCCTTTAGAAAAAAGTCCAAAAAAATAGGACTTAAAAAGCTTAGAGCTAGGTTTCACTTACCAAGATTTTGACTACTGCCTCATACAAAATGTAAAAATATCTTGTTCTTGCTTGAGGCCTTTTTAAGGAACATTAAAGTATCTACTTGAAAGTTTTTGTTTCTTAGATAATTTGGAGCTTGACCAAGTAAAACAAATGATTGGAGATATTAAATATAGCTTTACTGTCCTCTTTTAGCAGAGTAATTTTGAGAGCCACAGGATTCTAACATAAAAATATAACATTTTTAGAGCATGATAATTCAATATCATGCTAGCAACACCACTTTAAATCAGTTCAAAGACATAAACACTGCAGTTTCCTTTTATTATTTCTAACGTTTCTAAGCACCAGTAAAGACATCACATTCAACAAAGTGACTTACAGCTAAGTGAAATGAGGCCACTGAAAATAAAACTAGGCTTCCAGTGAAACTAATTCAGCCATGCCAGTTTCTATTTCTTGTTTCCCAGCTACCAAGCCACACTTCTTCCATATAGATTTAACTTTATAGCTGTTAGAGAGTACTGCACTTGTGAAAGGCCAACTCCAACTTATGAAAATTGGTACATTTAATTTTACCAATCAATACTTTTGGTTACTTCGTACATATAGACATGACATAATGCAAACCTCAAGGAGAAAATAAAATGAAAAAGAAAGACTCACACATCATTGAGTTCAGCTACTCGACCAAGAAATTCTTCATAAGTTAAGGAGCTACTTTCTCGAACCAATGTGACATGTTTTGCTACTTTTTCTGGTAACTTGTTAATAACCAGCTGTGTCTGATCTGAAATTTGCTGTCCCATGATGAAATGTCTTTTATAATCCAGAAAAAGTGTTACTTCACATACTTCCTGTTAAATATATATAAAAGTTATTTTTACATAGAATATAAAAACAGCAATATACCCACCCTTCAAAAAACAAAAAAGAAAAGACAAACTTTGAGAGTTGAGTAGACTTATATGAGCCTAAGATAGGATTGGTTTAAATGACTATATTTTAAAAGATTTATTATTTCTATGCTTTCAGAATCATATTGCTAAATAAGAAAACAGGATTCACTTATAATGTTGAGAAGACAATGAACCTCTAATTCTTATAATTTTACCAAGTCAAACCCACTATCACACAAACACACACACACACACACACACAAGCATTCAAGTGACTGTACTTAACAGGAAATTTGTTTACCTTATTTAATTTTCCTAAGAACATTTCCTGGCTGCTTACCACATGCCAGGTTCCAAACTAAGTGCTTTTCATATACCATATTATGTCATTTATTTCTTACAATATCCTAAGAAATAGATATTGTTGTATCTTTACAGATAAAGAAATGGAGCTAAGTAGCTCATGAAAAATGCACAGTAAGGGGCAGAAATGAGCTTTGAAGTCCTGTTTATCACACTGTATAGTGTTTACATTCTTGACCAGTATAATATACTTACTGGCTGAGAATATAATTTTGACAGTTAAAAATTTTTGTTATTGAATTATTTATAAGTGTGCAACTTATTTTTAATTTAAAACTACATGTTACATATTTTTGATTTGAAAAATCTAATAAAATTAAAGTTAAGATAGTTTAACCACCTCACATTTTCTACTTAGTGAAAAAATAGCTCTTTGGCTTTAAGTATTTTTAATGTCAAAATTATGTAATTTGTTTTTAAATAGGAGTCAAAAGGCTGGGCACTACTTTAATAAAAGTACTAACAATATAGATCAATAATTTGTTTAAATGACTTTAAAATTTAAGCATAAAACATTTACTGTACTTTAAAGTCTTGAAAAATATAATTCTATGTATTGTGTCTAGACAAGAGTTAGATGTGTTTATTCTAGACAGTTATTTTCCTCTGGTAAAAAAAAATGACTTAGCAGAAGAGCAAGCATTTTCAGCATTTGTCTATGATAATATATTCAATAACTGTATGTGATAATCCTTATTCAATATAAATATTACTATTAATGATAGTAAAGCAGCAACATCTCAAATCACCATGGCACTGTGAACTTCCTAAGAAAGGAGTTTCCAAAAACAACCCCCCGCAAAAAAAAACAAAAAAAACCTTAAACTTACAAACGAACAATGTATAGCCTAAAAAGTAAGTTATATTAGAAGTCTTTCCCCAGAAAGACAGTAACTTCATTCTGACATTTACCACATATATGTTAAAACTACATATTATCCTTATTTTTCTTGTTCTCATCTATAGTTATAAAAATATTAGGAGCAAATGATTGCTGGCTAGGGTTAAGGATTCACTGTCTTACATCGTCTTTTTAAAAATTAAACTGAACAAGTACTGTGTATCCAGTACTTCTGTTCTAGAGATATGCCTGTGAGTCACTGAGGAGCATCCAATATAGTGGGAAAGACAATGATCACACAAATAAGTACATAATCACAGAACAAGAAACACTAATCAAATACATATAGGGTGCTATGAAACCTATAAAATGGGGACCTGACCTAGTCTTGGGTCAGGGAAGAAGTCCCTGAGTAAACATTTGATTTGAGTTCAGGTCAGTCAGAATTGTGAGGAGGGTGGGGAGCATGGTGAGTGAACATTCCAGACTGAGGTTACAGAAAGTGCTTGAGACAGTAAGTATCATGGTGCCCCTGCAGTAATTAAAAAAAAAAAAAAAAAAATGGCTAGAGTGTCTTAGGCGGAGAGGCAGAGAGAAAGGGAAGACTGGCACCAAAAAATGGGCTATTTAACATTTTTACTGATGGCTTGAAGACAAGATTGCACTTCATGCCTGCCCAGTCTATGGATGACCAAAACTGGAGAGAAGAAATTATAATATTCATGGTATTATGACTAAAATAGGTACTCACTTGCTAAAACTAAATTTAATACAACAAAGAGTTAACTCCTGAATGTTTTGAAAAGTCAACTGCACAAAAGCACCTAGCATATGGTATTAGAATAAGTCTTTCCAAAAAAGCACTTAAGCCATTTTATGTTTTTAAAAGCAGTTAAAATATAAAAGATCCAAGGTTAATAAAAATAAGTCAACAACATAATAGAAACTTCAAAGATGCTAAAGTAATCTTAAACTCTTACTAAAAGCAAATGTTCAGAGCAAGGAGACTCTAGTTCTATTATGCTCTGCAATAGTTTGACCACACTGAAGGTCTAAGCAGTGAGAATTTTAAGGGTATTAAATTAATAAATTAGAACATATTCCGACATTATGGGTTTAAGAAAGGAAACAAAGTGATTTATTCTACATTAGCATAGCTTGTTGACAATGTGGTGCAACGATTTGTTTGTTCAAATACGTAAGTTGCTGTCATGCGGAAGAGGAAGTAAGATTTATATTCCACAGCTATAGAGAACAGAATGGCCAATAATGTAAGTTAGAGAGGCAGATTTCACTTTAGTATAAAAATGTCTTACTATCCAGAAATAGAAAGGGATGTTGTGCAATAATTTTCTTTCTTTGATGTGCGGAAATGTTTAAGTAAAGATAAGAGGTTCAACTCAGGAGTAGAATAAAAATTTTTGTCTGGGTGGGAAGTGAAGTAAGTTTTCTCTAACCTAGTATTTTACTCCCCACATTAAACTTAAGCTTTCTCAGCTTCCCTGTACCAACTAAATCAAAATGCGATAAGATTCTCATCAATCAGAAGCACATCGGCAATACTTAACAAAGAAAAAAAAAAAACTTTAGAAATACAATCGCTATAGTTAATGTAAATTTATAATGATAATTTAATCACTATATGTAGGAAAGATAAAATTTTTCTCCTATTTTTCTCTTAAGAGTTCCTGCTGGGCCTAAGGCTAAGAAGACAGAAGCACACAAATTTTATTTAGTAATTTTTACATGTACAGTACCTGGACATCCTCACAAGAAAAACAAGACAAAAGGAAGAATTAGGGCTGAAAGTTAGGCTGGACAAAGAGTAGTAAACTGAAAATATGACAAGATAAAGAAGTTTGGGCTAGAGTAATTAACTGTGGAAAAGGGACTAGGAAAATAAGATTACTTGAGGAAGGTTTGTACAGATTCCTGTTGGTTTCAACTACCCATCTCTAAGAATGTGCTCCTTTCACATGGGAGTTTTATCTTCTGCTATTGGAAAGAAAAAGAAGGGCAGAGTTTATTTCTCATATCTGCTATTTTTAAAAAATGTCTGTAATTCAAAATGATCCTTTTGCCAAAGTGGCATAATTTGGGGTGGCAAAATTAGGGTGAACACATTGCTCTCCAAAAACATATTTTAAAAAGGAGTCTTGGTTGCTGATTTATCAGTTAGAAAATGTTCTCTTATAATGTGAGGCTGCACATTAGCTTCTTTTCCTGTAATTGCACTTAGTATCCAGCAAACCTCATCACTGACTCCTTGCAATGACTCCATGTACAAACTACTTAAGGGCAGGAACAGTGGTTCTCAATCTAGTTCAGGAGGGAGGGCCTTAAATTCAGCTTATTTTGAAAACAACAAAAAAAATTGATAAATATTATCATTTATCAGTAGTGTAAAAATACCAGTTAAACACAGCATAAAACAACCAAGAGTACACATTCACAAAAACAATCTGTTAAGGCCATCCTTTAGTCACTCGCCATAGCTTTTTCAGTGTTTTGCTTTGGTGACTGCACATATTTCTGTCATAGGACCTATCACCAGTTGGTGCTTGCCCACCCGCCTCCATGATCTTCTTCAGGTTATTTAGCTGTGTTCTCTCTTCTGGAAGAAACACAGGAACATATTTTCTGAATGAATATAGTAAGTACTATTGACAGCTTTGGGATTATTATTCACTTGGAATTCTTCTGACTGGTTATTTTGTTCAGTTACCTATTAGTGGGATATGTGGAGGGAAGTAGAAGTTAATGGAAGAAGAAATGCAAAATTGTAAAAATGAGTACTGTTCATGTAAATTGAGAAATACTCATCATTTGATATTAACAAAATAATTCCCTCTAAGTCATATGGAACAGTAGTATATCCCATAGGAATAGTCTGCAAACCACTGATATAAAATTCAGCAAAAGACAAATCAGCAAAAAATTTCTTTAAAAAACTAGCAACTCTCAAATTATTGTGCCACCTATAACATAGTCCATTCTAGCAGGATAGAAATGTGCTTTCAAAAAACACTTGAAGGGTTTTCTGAATAAAGAACTGTTATTTTGAAACTCACAAGAACATCAAGGATTCCAAAAATGCCACATTCTCAGTGGGCGGTACATACAGTTATCACTTCTCTTTTTCTTAACAATGAGTTGTTGTACTCAAAATATTCCTTATAAAAATATAACAATCATTGATGGATAACTGGCTATCCACACACACACAAAAAACCCCACAAAAAAATCTGTGAAAATTTAAAACTAAATTATTCACAAAAGCATTCAAGTAAAATTGAAAAGCCTGTACATAAAATAACTACTTGACAAGTATTTAGAAACTGACATCCATTCCCCAACAATATTTTTTATCAAATTCACTTGCAAAAAAGATGTTTCTAGGTGAAATTATCAACTACTTTCATATCAACTTTCACCTCAGTAATACAAGCTAAGTGCCACAACTAAGTCCCTAAGGATATTATTTATTACTCATTGCTTACTCAAACTATGGCTTTGAGTATGTATCAGCTCTCTTTCAAAACAGGAAATTAATACAGTTATAACAGAAACAGAATGAAACAATTAGGCTGTTCTGCCTTCAAAGATCTTATCAGAAAAATACAATACTGTACTAGGAAATAAATGGATTTCTAATAGCACCACTGTTTACAAAATACTTTTCTAAATACTTAGAAAAAATACACTACTTGTTTCTTTGTACATTCTCTCCTTTTCAGAACAAGGAGAAAGGAAGTGTGTATTTAGCTAAGAGCAGAAGAGGGATCAAGTATAGAGTCCATTTACATCAAATGAAAACTAACATTTTTGAAACATATTTGGGAGAAAAATATTTAGAACGTGAAGCCAGGCAACATGAAAAGAGAACAATTTATACTATTTTTGAGTTGTGAATTACGAAAGTGATTGGCAGCTCATGTCCCAGGCAAAACTCTGAATAAATGAAGCTCACTTTATAACAAGAAAAATGGGCGGGAATGAATGGCAACCTTATTTTGTGCTGGAGATGTAAGAATTATAAACAATTAGAGAAGGGTTACTACTAGAGGAAACAAAGTGCTGGATAGCGCAAAATAGATAAGGATCAGAATATCAACGTACAGTGCCATTTAATTAATAAGGAAGCAGGGGATAAACTTCAACAATAGTAAATCCACATTTTGTAACAAGAGACAAATAGTTGAAGAAACAGTCTCAAAAGCTAATAAAGAAGGCTTCTTCCCAATAAAGTATTTTAAAACATAAAAAAAAGAGGAGGCTTCTTTTCCTTCTGTAAATCTCTACAATCATAATTAACAAGAAAACGTTTCTCTCAGCCAGATCTCAGGATAGCGGCTACTTTGACAAATGTCGGCCCCGGGGAAAAGTGGCAGCCCAGGCCAATCTGAAAGTGTAGGGTGTGCTAAATTGAACAATTCAGCCTGAGGTGGAGCCCCAGGCAAGGCGTTATTCCTCGGGAGTGTCCCGTCCCGAGGGGTCGGGGTCGTAACCAACCTGCACTCGCTCCAGCGTCGCGGCCCCGTCCCTCCCCAGGCAACCCGCACTTTTCACCAACCCTAAACCTGGGGGCCGACAGACTGCGCCGGCGGCAATATTCAAAATGCAGTTCTAGGTCCAGGAGCAACACCTCTCCCCACTTCCCAGAATCCTCGCCAAAGTGGGACCCGACGCCTCCTCGCTGGCTATTTGAAACCGTCGTTTGGAGACGGGGCCCAAGGCGGGCCTTCTAAGTCAGCCCCGCGCTCTAAGCCGCGGCCTAGAAAGGGAACCCAAGCTCGGCGGTCAAGGCCTGGCCGCAGTTTCTACTCCCGGGTTGCAGGTGTGGAGCAGCTAAGGAGGGACACGGCGGGATGACAGCGCTGTGGGGCTCACCGCAGGTTCAAGGCATCGTGTCCCCGCTGCAGCAACTATGCTCCGCCTACGGCTCCGGCCCGCCGGAGAAAAGGTTCGGTGGGCGACAAGGTCGCACCTCAGTGACGCAAGGCAGCGCCCGAGAAGCGTTGCTTGGCAACGACCCTCAGCCCGCCTCCCCTGCTCTTCGCCCCGCCTCACGCCCCGCCCCGCCTCTCCCGGCGGGCTCCCCCCTCAGGGGCTGCGTAGGACCTTGACCTAGGCCCTCTGAGAGCTCAGGGGTGGCAGACTAAGCCCAGGCCGGGTCTGCTCTGAACAGCCCCTTCCTGTCCTTGAGGAAGCATTGCAAACCCAGGTTTGGTCAAGGGTAGGATTCCAAGCCACCGCGTTAGTCTCTAACATCTCTTTGATCGTAGCGGTGTGAAGATTATCTTGTTTCTGTCTTGAAATAGGATGGGATGGTTACCTAGCTGGGTTGCTAAGTGTAAAAGAGAATTTGGAAAGTGACTAGCACAGAGTCCCAAATGGTAAGCTTTAATAATAATAGTTATTATGTACACGTGTTGGTGATGTCATTGCTCTTCAGGACATTTTAGGCAGTACTTGCTGTTAAACACCTGTCTTGTTTCAAGTACTGCACTAAGACATTTTACAGGCATTGGCCTTACTTAAGTAGTTTGTTCAACGTTACACAGCCGCAAAACAGCAGAGCAAAGATTTAAACCAAGATAATATGGCTAACACTGTTGTCTCCATGGTTAGCGGCTAAACTAAATTCCAAAATTAAACTTCTTAATGTTTGGTTACCCATAGCCATCTTTTACTGGTCATTTTGATATAGGGAAATATAACTCCCAAACTGTTAGATGTTAGATGTGCCGAGCTCAGGGTTCCAAAACACTGAGGAATGAAGTTGAGAACCAAAGGGAGAAGTTAGGAGAGTTTATTGGAAATAAGAACAGAATAGCTCCTGGATTTTCAGGAGAGGTTAGTTGTTGTAAAATCTCTATGAAATAGTAATTATGAAGTTATTTAGTAGCAAGGTAAGGAAATCTTCACTTTTCTTACATATAAAAAGGAAAGCCAGGTGTGGTGGTGCATGCCTGTAATCCCAGCACCTGGGAGGCTGAAGCAGGAGGATCACTGAGTTTGAGACCAGCCTGGGCTACATAGTGAGTTCCAGGTCGGTCTCAACTACATAGTGAGACCCTGTCTCAAAAAACAAAAACAAAAACAAACAAAGAAAACACCAAATAAATATTAAGAGTTCAGAAGTAATTTTTGTATAAGAGGGATACTTTTGTAATGAATCTAATTTATTATAGGTATCCAGACTTTCATAGTTCATATAGGTATTTTCTATTTAACAAAATCCTGGAAGCTTTCATAAAATTATAGCAAACCCAGTCTGTAGTGAACACCAGGAAATTTTGACTGTTGAAGTGGTATATTTTTTCTAGGAAAGTATGTCCCTGTCCAACCTCTCCTGCTTTTTGTAAGGTCACTAAACATCTGTGACAGGACTGTGGGAATATTAGAGGAAGAGTGTGAGTGGCTATGAACTGTAAACATTTTTAACTTCCTGTATGTAATTCATAAAATCATAAAGTTGAAAGAACTGAATTGTCTGCTCCAACATTCTTTTTGATGTGGAAACTGAGATCCAAAGATGGGAATTGATTCACCCAAGGACTGCAAAACAAGTTTACTAAATTGAGTTAGAGTCCAGATTTCTTGACCACTAGTCTAGAATACTTTCCTAACAATATGTTACTGTTTTTAATTATATCGTTGTAGAGGAGAGAGGAACAACTCATCACCCACAGTTAAGATTAAAGCTTTGTCTTCTAGGATGCTGTACTTGAAGGTTTCTGTCTCATCGATCCTTTCTTTCTGGCTGCTTCTATTCAAGCTTTGTCTTCGGTCCTCTTTTTATTTTTAAATATTTCAGGGGCTTATAAAGTCATAGCTATAATTATTGTGTGTATTTGGACAATTAAAAAATATACATCTACAATTGTTATCTTTCATTGGTATTATAACCCTGTATTTCCATATTTATGTAGCACAGCTTCAAAGGAACAAATGTACCACCAGAATGGCACCAGAACTCACCGTTTTCCATAGGAATGGCTCCTGGATTCCAGTGCCTCTGTGTTCACATCATCAATGGCAACTTTAGAGGTGGCAACAGCTGAAGAAGGAATTTTGTGGCTGCTGGAGGAAGTGGCAGCAACCTCAGACAGGTATTATCTAGAGAAGTAGCATTGTTACTTGGTAGGTGCCACCTAGGATATTACCAGAGAAGCAGCAGTAGAGTCTGGCAAAGTTAGCAGTGCTTGTGGGTGTGACAGTGCCCAAAGGGTATAGAAGCAGTGCTTAGTAGAGACCATGGACCTGGGAGACATGGTGATACCTAGTGGCAATATTCTTGGTAGAAAATGGAGAAGACAAGCAAAAATGGTTGATGTGCCTAGTAGGAGATAAGGTAGTACTACTTGGAGAATTAGACCAAAAGCAAAACTTGTTGCCATATGGAAAGTAATCACACTCGCTGTAAGCACGTTTGAGTCACCTGGTTTGAGATAATCCAGGAGGGTTTCTTGCTCCCTTACCACTAAGGAGTAAGCTATTTCAACAGGCCCAAGGAAATAAAGGTTATATTGGTGCTTCCCAAGCCGTCATTCTGGGAAAGGAGAATAAAGGAAGTATGGATATTCTAACAGTGATATTTATCTCTGTACCTACTTCATTAACCAGTAATCACTGGTGGAGGGTTCTCTTGAAACCTATTTTGAGCATATGATTTAAATGTGGAGGCCTAAGGAGAATCTATAATGAGAAAGATACAACAGGGGCTATAAGTTCACTTATCTCACCACATACATGAATTGGAAGTGACGGAGGAAAGTGGCCAACCTGCTCCAACTACCAGGCCTTGCCAAGAGGTGAGCAGGAAGTAGATAGGTGGGAACTATGAATGAGTGCTGAGTTTTAAGGTAGAGTAGTTCTACCCATCAAGAAAATGTGTGCACCCAGCAGTAGTAACATCTGGGTCTTTTTCAGTCAGGCTAACAATTCCTCTTCTATGCAGGGCAATTAGAAAAGGGGCATTGAGAATGGGAGCCAAGGTGAAGTGTTTTCCAGCTCTGACACCACACAACTCTTCTCCTCCAGCAGGTGCAGATCACCTGGCTTACCACTGAATTATTACTGTGTTTTGAATGAGTGTCTTGGTGCTTTGACTCACCTGTACTGCAGGTGCAGGGTAGGGTACCCTGTAGACAAAGCGTGTTTCAGTCTACGATGGGGTCAGGATTGCCTCTTTTCTACCCAGATGCCAATTATTACCCGTGGTGAATCGACACTGTTTCTAAGACCTTCAGTAACTTATACCTCCTCTCACACTCCTTCTCAGACTTACCATTCAGGCATTCCCATGCTGGATCTTCAGATTTCAACATCCTCTCCATACCTCTACTACATAGAAGTTTCTGTTCTTTAACTTCACAGTGTACCTTTAATATATTCCTTTTAAAAACTCAACTGCCCTTTTTCTAATTATCCTGCATGGAAGGGGAATTGTTAGCCTAGATTGTCCAAAAGATGCAGACTTCAAGCACTAATACAAAAATCTAGATATCTGAGAACTTAAATCAAACCTAAGAACCAAACCTAAAAGCCAATATTTATTAGGTTCACAGTTGCTGAGGGAGCTAAGTATTCTCTGAATTGACCAAAGTCCAAAACACAATAGTTTTCCTCTTGAAATAAATATATGTCTCACAGTGATGAGTCAATGGGCAGTCAGGGAATAAAGTGTAAGTAAAATATTCTTTGTCATTCTTCTAACTTGTTTACAACTGCATGCTACATCATGAGAATGTCATCATGAAGAACAAAATGTATGTGGGCAGGACGGCTGGTGCTATAGCAAATGATCTTAGCATTAATATATATAACTAGTAAAAGGTATGACTTAAAACTCCCTGCTTGCTGGTATTCGTACTCTTGTACAAACCATCATGACTTACTTACCATCATGACTTGCTTCTTCTACTGAAGAGAATTTGACAACAATAATCAGATATCATTTCCAAGATTAGGCATAAAATCTTAGGAAGCTTGTCTTTCCTACTCTTTCTCTGGCTTTTATTGTGTTAGTATAATGAAGCAAGCTGCTATTTTATGAGCTATTCATATGGAGAAGTTCACATGGGGAAGGACAGAGGACAGCCACTAGCCAACAGCAAACATAGAACTAAAGCCTTTCCACAACCTTATGAGTAAATTTGAAAGTGAACTTTATCCCCATCAAGTCTTGAGGTGAGTATAGCCCGGCTTGATGTTTGGATTGCAGCTTTTAAGAGACCCTGAAGCAGAGGACCCAGTTTACATACCTGGATTCCTGACCCACAACAGATGAGATAATTAATGTTATGTCATTAAATTCTGAGGCCTTTTGCAGCAATGGGTGATTAATACAATTAAGAAGAAAAGCAAGGGTGATTGAAGCAGAAGACAAGAATATTTGTGAAGATGAGAGGATATAATACAGACTAGATATGCCTATATCTTCAAACATTTATCATTTCTTTTTGGTGAGAACATTCAAATTGCTTTCTTCTAACTTGTAAAAACATATAGTGTATTACTACTGTACTGTAGTTGCCCTGTTATAATAGCACATCACAGTTTCCTTTCCCCATCTGACTATAATTATTACCCATTGATTAACTTTTCCCCATCCCTTCTCCCTACTTCTCTCCTAGCTTCTGGTAACTATCATTCTACTCTCAATTTTTATAAGATCAGTTTTTAAAATTCCGTATGTGAGTGAGATCATGTAGTGCTTCCCTTTCTGTGCTTGGTCTGTCATTTAACACAATGATCTCCAGATCCATTTATATTGTTGCAAATGAAAAAAAATTCATTATTTTTTATGGCTAAAAAGTGTTCCATAGTGTGCAATATATACACATATCAGAATTAAGATTGTTTCTATTTCTTGGCTATTGTTTATTGTTTTTTTGTTTTGGTACCGGGGATTGAACTCAGGTCCTTGTGCTTGCAAGGCAAGTGGTGGAACCACTGAGCTAAATCCCCGACTCTATTTTTTGGCTATTGTGAATAAGGCTGCAATAAATATGGCAGTTCAAATATCCATTTGATATACTGATTTCAGTTTCTTTAGATGGCAAGATTGCTGGATCATACAGTAATTCTCCTTTTAATTGTTTAGAGCTTCCCCCTTTACTCAAAAGCTCAGATTACCATTTTATCTTTTCCTGTAGAAATCTTACAGATGCTTGAAGACCTAACTCAAATACCATCACCTTCATGTTGGCTCTACAGATGAAATAAGCCAGAAATATTTTCTCCTCTGAGTTTGCCTAGCCTGTGCTTTATAGCATTTCCTACACTTAGGTTGCAATTACTGTGTGTTGCATACTGTCTCTCTTCACTTCTAGGTACTAACTCTGGTTAATGGCGGTGGTCTGAGTGTATTGCGCACAAAATGGGGTGGGAGGGAGGAATGTGGAGGGAGAAAGCATTAGGAAGGCAGAGGAGTTAGATTACCATTGCGGGGCTTGTTTGTATTTGACTTTAGTGTGTCTCATTACTGTAAAACTATGATTTTAGTGCAGAGTTGTTTTGGGTAATGCTAAACTGTTGACTACTTATCACTGAGCAAGTCTTCATGGGCCCAGAGAAAAGTGAGAAAAGTCCATCTGCATGAGTTTTTCAAAAACTAGACTTATTTAGTAACTTCCCTTTATTCTAATTCTGTATCCTTCCTCTTTATTGGTTTTCATAAAATGATAGTGGTGTTAGATAGTAGTATAATTTTCTGATGTCTTTACTTGAATAATATTTAAAAGTTGGAAGCTCTGTATTGCTCCCCAAATTTAAGAGTCATTTATCTATAAAATTGGAAATTCTTGGGATTGCTCTTGCCTAGCTTTTAGGGAGGAAACAGTGACATTGCAGGAGAATACCCTGTGCCCAGAGCTTGGCTTCTGATACCCTTTTTCTAAAAAGACTAGGACTCCTAGAGAAATAGCTGATTCTAGAATCAGGGCACAAAATTAAAAGATGAGCCCTCGCCCAGAGCATCTGATGGTGCCAGAAAGTTAGAGAGATGCCTGATAACCCATGCATGAGAAGGCGTCAAAGGGCCGCAGCAGCAAGCTGAGGCAGTTCCCAGTTGCCAACACTGGAACAAACCGAGCAAAGAATAAGTGACAAAGTAGTATAACCTAAGTAGAAAATAATCATTCTTGAGTGCACACTACTACAAATAAATGCATAAATGATGAGGGAGAATAGATAAATCTCTTGTGCAGGAAATTTGCCAACAATTTATGTAGATGTGGCTCCTTTAACGAGGCAGGGCATGACCTTTCTCTGTTAAAGGAGGGGCCATGCATGGTGAGTGCTGTCCAGAGAAAATAGTATCCAAAGGAGAAAAAAGTGACTGTAGAGTGGAGAGAGCTGACAAGCACCACATAGCCAGGTGCTCCAGGTTAATGTCAACAGTGGCAACATACCCTTGATGTGAAGGCATCAAAATGGCACTTTACCTCTGTGGTCTTCCTTCTCTAGACACATAATCTCATTGCAGCCATAAGAAAATGTCAGAAGTCTCAGCTGAAGGACAATCTGCACAATTCCTGACCAGCACTCCTCAAAAATGGCAAAGTTATCAAGAAACTGTCATAGCCAAGAGAATCCTGTGGACACCTGAGGACTAAATGTAATGTGGTATCCTGGATGAAATTCTAGAATAGACATTAGGCAAAAATGAAGGAAAGCAGAATGAAGTGTGGATTTCGGTTAATAACAAGGTATCCTTATTGGTGACAAATGGAGCCAGGTGTCGTGACACAAGCCTGCAATCCTAGTTCTTGGGAGGTTGAGGGAGGAGGATCACAGTGAGTTCAAGGCCAGCTTGGGCTACATAGTGAATTCAAGGCCAGCCTGAACTGCATAGCGAGACCTTCTCTCAACAAACAAATATTGGTGACAAATGTAGCCTACTGTTAGAAGATGTTAATCATTAAGGGAATAAGTTGTGGTTGTGGAACTCTGTACTGTCTTCATACTTTTTTCGTAATTATAAAGATATTCTAAATTTTTGAAAGTTTATTGTAAAAAGGAAAATGGTCTTCTAGTCCATAAAAAGGTACATTTTTAGCTACATTAGCACTGTTTGGAAATTTGGCCATTTACTGGGGAACGTATAGAAAGGAGAGTACTCCAATCTGATTTTAGTATTATGAAAATGTGCTTTGCTCAGTCATGAGCCCATAAATAAACTATTATGGTGATAAACAACCAAATTTTATGTACTATTAACTTGAATTCCAAACTGACAAATGATTGTTTTTTTTTTCATGTTTGGAGGTTTTAGAACATTCTTTTTGGTGTGAGTGACTCATTCCTTAGTAAGAATTATTTACTTGCATGTTGTTATTAACACCCTTAGAAACCTGTTCTTCTCTAGAGCAACCTGTTTTGTTTTGGGCACAACAAAATGTAGGATTTTGTTATGGCTTGTGTTTAGATGCCCCACAAAGCCTCATGTGGTTCAGCGGGGGCGGGGGAGCTTTTTCAGAGGTGGCTGGATCTAGAACGTGTGAGGCCAGAATTGATTCATGGTGCAATGCTAGGCTCAAGGGCACTCGGTTAAGGGTGTGAGCGCTACCCACCCTAAGTTTTCTGGATAAGACAAAAGGGGCAGAAAGACACTGCTAAGGTCCCTAATTGCTTTTGCTACCTGTGGGTGTCATGGATGGTTTTCCTCTATGAAGGCCCTCTGCCATGTGCCATTCTGCCTTGAGCCAGCCAACTATGAACTGAAATCTCTATGAACTATAAGCCAAATACACCTTTCCTCCCTTAACTTGTGAGCCTCAAGTATTTTGTCTCAGCAGTGAGAGAAAAGTAACTAACACAATTTGTTGCTCTGGAAAATAATATTATCTAATTCTGTTCCAAACCAGTGGACATTCAAAGACTCTAGCTGTGTACAAGTACTATGCTGGACCTTCAGTCTTCTGTTTTATTCCAGTTTTCTGTCCTGAGAATCAGCCTGTCTTTATGGGTCTCATATTGGCACATTAATATTTGATGGTGGCCTGGCCTTTATAAAAACATGCATTTTTATGAGAGACTCCTTGGGACAGAAGGTCTTTGCCCAAAGGAATGAATCTATTATGTTTGAGCCAAGGAAGTGGGCAGGAAAAAAAGGGTCATTTATGGGGGAGATCCTTTATATCCTCTGTAGATGTCATATGGCTGCCTACCTGCCTCCATGAAGATGGCTTTGGTGGGCTGGATTGTAGGTGATCCCTTGTATTCCATTTTCTTTTTGTTCAGTGGTGAATAAAGAGAATTTTCAGTAGAGAGAAGGAGACTTCTAGATGAGACTCCACTACTTGCTATGACATTGGGTTTCATATTTTATACCCAGAAAAAAAATGTAAAGAAGCTGATCTTGGATCGTTTTGAGCCTTACCTTTCCTGACCATGTGAGTCGGGCCAGGTAGGTCTTTGTTAAGGTTAGTGTCTGCATCAATGAGGTGCCATTTCTCAAAGTTCTTTCAAGGTTTTCTCTTTCCCTTATTGTGTGTGGCCAATGGATTTAAGAAAAAGAGTCCCTTCAGTGGATGCAGGAGTCCTGAGGTGTCCTTATTTCAACCCTGTTGTTTTTGGCAAGTGACCTATTTCAAGTTTGTATATTTCTGGCCTTCCTCCCACTGTCATTTGTGAGATATGTGTGTATTATATTATATTGTAGGGAAAAGAGCATGGGCTTTGTAGACACCTTGTCCTGGGATAAAATCCTACTTTCACCATTTAACTGTACCCATGACCTCAGAAATCCAATTTTCCAATTAATAAAATAGCAGTTGTAATTCTTACCTGATGGGAAGTGTGGAGACGAAATTGGATAAATGTGAACTATCAACTTAGTATGTGTCCAGTAAATGTTAATTTCTTCTCTGCTCCTCTCTTTCTCTGTCTTCTTCCCTTCCTTTTCCTTCCTTCCTTGCATAATGATGGACGATACATTTTCATCAGTGTACTTGCACTTGGCATTTGGGCTATTGAGTGATTACAGTTGTCCCTTGCCTTTGGGAGACTGAGTCCACAACTTCCTCTGGATAACAAAATCCACACGTGCTCAAATCCCCTATATAAAGTGACATAGTATTTGTACATAACCTATGAATTTCCTCCCATACACATTAAAATATCTCCACATTACTTATAATACCAATGCACAGTAAATGCTATATAAATAGTTGTACTATATTTTGGGGGAAATAATGACAAGAAATAAGTCTGTACAAGTTCAACACAGGCACAATTTTTTCTCTGGATATTCTTGATCCTCGTGTGGTTAGAGCTGTGGATGTGGTACCTGAAGATGTGGGAGGCCAACTGTGTACGTGGATGTGTGGTAAATTTTTCTCCCCTACTTCCTCCTCCAGGATAGGGCACATTACTTGTCTAAAATAGCAGAAGATGGTAGCATCCTTATGTAGAGTTGATGCCCCTAGGATGGGACATGTGTGGCATTTCTGATTATTTTTCAGCTGATACGCACAGAGGAAAGACCAATCCTTTAATTTTTTCACCCTTTTTCTTCTTCAGTCCCTGAGAACTGGATGAAGCTGATAAAGATGAAAGACTGAAAAGCAGAGATTCAAACTCATAAGCCTACAGAGTTGGGCAGGAAATATAAATGAGTGACATGGGCTGGCATGCAAAAAGGCAAAGGTAGCAGGAGCGCCATAGGGATGGCACCTTTGGCATAAAGGAGCCACAGAGTGAAACGGAACATGGTGACCCGAGAGAGCATATCCCACTTAACAGGGATAGCCACTAAGGTGGCTTCAAGTGGTGGTTGCTCTCAGGAATATGGGTTCTCTATATTCAGAGCTTCTATTTTTCCTAGAGAATCTAGAGACAGAAGTATATGAGACATCTTGATTTTCAGTTATTGACAGCTATACTGAATTTAACTGTAGGCCAACCTTAAAAGATTACTCCACAGGTTATGGTATTTGGGAAAAAATGACCATGTGGAGGAAGCCAATTAACCAGGTAGGAATTGGGTGGGGAATAGGGTGGGAGTAGGGAGAGGGAGAGAGAAAGCTAGAGAACCTGGACAGATGAGTCATTCCGAGTGTTTTGAACTCTGAAATGGATTGGGATGTAGGACCCAAGTCTCAAGTAAAGGAATGATGTATGTGTACTTGAGACACTTAAAGGAAGACCATCTGAAGTAAGGACAGTTTCTCATTATGCTTTATATACAACTGGGCTTACAGGTCTGAATTTTAACAACCAAAGTTTTCTCTTTTACTTTTACAGACTGCAGATTTCAGATTTGTGTGCTGACTTTAATTTGTGCATCAATGTAAATAAGAGAACAAAGAAATTATCTAAATGCTTTATTTGTTGCGGGGGCACAAATATTTCTGCACCCCAGATTCTTCTTGCTGGAAAAAATTAGAGCTAGTGATACATTTGTTAGTGGCATTTTAAAAATGTGCTTTGATGTGTAGAGGTAATGCACTAATTAGGTATGTTAATAATAAATTAAAGTTATAATGGTTGCTGTATTAAAGAAAATGAATAGATTAGTGTCAGTTTAAAAATTAGTCTGAAAGTAGTAGGAATATCAAAGCTAGGAATATCAAAGTTGAACAGTTTAGCTTTAGCTATGTTCAAGTTTTGATGATTAATACTCAGTTACACAGCATAATATCTTCAGAGCGCCTGACACATACAGGTTGAGCATCCTTAATCCAAAAATCCAAAATCCAAAATGCTCCAGAATTTGAGCATCAATATGACACTCCCAAATGGGAAATTCTATATCATGAAACTTCATTTCAATCCTAAAACAATTAAAAGTGTTGCTTAAATTTTCCTTCAACTTATATTATAAGGTATATCTGAAATATAAATGAATTTTATGTTTAGACTCAGAGCTCATGCCCAAGGTATCTCATTATGCAACTATTCCTAAATCAAAAAAGATCCCAAATCTGAAAACACTTCTGATCCCAACATTTCAGAATAAGGATACTCGACCAGTAGGAAATATATGGCAAACCATTTGTTGAATTTTATTACTTTTTATTCAAACATTGTAATTTTCCTTAATAATGGTTTCTGTTGCTCAGGTAAAACCAGAAATTTCTGTGTATTTTTGTTGTTTCTTATAGAAGCCTATTCTAGAGAAAAATAGCAGCAACAGAAAGAAAAGAAAGTGTGTGTGTGTTCTGAAAAGTGATTGCAACTCAACTGACTCAGAGATGAGTACCTGACCCCTCTGCATTTATAGTCCCTGCTGGCAGTGGTGTGGTGTTAGATTTCCCCAGCCTCATCCTAGTGCTCTGTTTATTGTGGTTTTGCAGAGATTATGTCTCAAGTCATAGGAATTCCCATGGCTTTTTTCTAAACCATTTTTTCCCCTTCTTTTACTTCTGCCTGGCTCAGCAGGACCAGGTGGTATAAGTGTCTCCTTTTCAGAGCTCAGAAAGACTATAGGCTGTGGGTCCAGCCTGGTCTCAGTGACTCTGCCACTCCTCCCCTAGTCTCTGCCAGCCTGGAGACCCATTTACAGATGTGTGCTGGATGAGCTCCTGTGGGTCCTTGAGCTTTGAAAGGTCCTTTCTCCCACTGGGATAGCATTAGGACATGTCCAGACTAGAAAGACTGTGGGAGGATTTGGAGGTAGGAGAGTAGGATCCAGAAAGGAGTAAAGGGGAAGGAAGGCTCCCTTTGGAGAACTCCATTGTCCAAAGAAAGCCCTGAGCTGATCCCTGTTAGGAACTGATGGTGAATTTTCTTCTTTGGATTTTTTGGCTTTTTGTTTCCCACCTGGAGCCCAAATATGGATCAGGAAAGAAACCAGCATCAGGTGATCCTCCTCACTTCTTGTCTAAACTTCAGCTTCGAGGCATCGTACTGTAGTTTTGTGTGGACTCCTGGGCTCTTCAGGGTTTTTATCAATTTTCTTTGATTCCCCATTAGGGTTGCCATCTTCAGCCTTCTCTTCCTTTACTACTTTGGTTTCAATCATTTCCTTCTGCTGATTCTTGTTTGTAAAAGGGAAGGCCTTCACATACCTGTAAACAGAAACATAACATTATTAAACCATATTTTGAAAATAAATGCATCTATATTCAAGAAAAATCCCATAAAATCAAAGGGAGGAACTTCTGTGTAACACGCATTGCGCAGATAATGCTTTGTCTGCAGTGGCACATGTTGGCACCGTTGCCCGGGTACCTTCATTTCAGAGCGATGCTAACATATGCACACTCAAATACACTAACACATCCCCACCTTAGTCAACTCATTTACATCAGGCGGCAGGTTCACAGGCCCAGCATTAGGCTGGCTTCCCTCAAAACATGGAACCATTTGACCCAGCCATCCCTCTGCTGGGTATCTTTCCAAAAGAATTAAAAGACTTATACCACAGTGATATATGCGCACCCATGTTTATAGCGGCACAGTTCGTAATAGCTACAACTTGGAAACAACCCAAATGTCCATCAGTCGGAGACTGGATAAAGAAGATCTGGGTTTTCTGTAAAATGGAGTACTACTCAGTCATAAGGAATGAGAAACTAGAGACATTTAGAGTTAAATGGATGCACCTTGAGGCCATACGCTTAAGTGAAATAAATAGGACACACGTGAGTAAATACTGAATAAGTTCTCTGGTGTGAAAAACCAGAAGTATAAATAAGGTTCAGATGGTATAATTGAGAGGGTGAAATGGCTAAAGAGGAAGTGGGAAGGGGAGGGGAAAGGAAATAAGGGAAAAGAAAAAAATGAAAAAATGAAAAAGGAAACAAAGTCTTTGTAAATAGGGAGGGGGAAGGGAGGGCAGGGGTATGGGGAAAAAACAAGAACCAAGATATATCATGTAGGTACAAGATCCCAATGATGAATGTAACTGTAGCGTTTGCTTTAAAGTTACCTGTAAACTTAATGGAATAACAAAACATGGATCCAAAAATCAAATGTAACATATAACTTTTCTTTACATGTCAACTTTTTCTTTTTATTCCTTCATTTTCATAGGGCTCCCCACTGACAGATATCTACACCCTGGATGACATAGTAGGAACGATTAGGCGGTAGGGAGGAGAGGTGAAGTGAAGGAGAAATTGTCCAGCATAGGAAGAGAGCCATCTCCATTTTGACCCGCAAAATGCCACCAGCAACACTAGAGAGAACACACGACAGGAATGGGCCGGAGATGCCGAGACTAGCAGTGCGTCAATAATCTCACCTTTTGATGTAGCAGACTGCCAGACCAGCTGCAGCACCGAAGAAGAGCAGAGCAAGCACTAGCAGAGCCGTGGGGACACCTGGGGAAACAGACGGGTCTGTTGGTCCTTCACTTACGCACAGTGCACTTAATGATTCATCTGTACAGCCGTGGAGGCAAGAGAGTGCAGGAGAAAAGCCTTTTCTCTGACTGTGTGACCTCGGGCCCTCAGCAGCTTCTTTGCTTCTTGCTGATAGAATCTTTGGCCCTGCCTCTCATGCTGTCTCTAGTTTACATAGTTGCAGTGTCAAAAGTAGAAGCCTATGGCCTTGAGGCCCAGCATAGACAAGTCTGCTGAGGGACAGAGGCCTGGAATAAAGCACTTACAGTATAGTTCTTTGTATAGAGAGTAGCAATAATTTATTTTTAAGTTTTCCAATGTGAAGTTCTTTTATACTCACAATGTTGTAGCTTGATCATTAGGATTCTTTACAGCTCTCACATTTTATGACTTCATTAAATTTGAGTTTGTGTTAAGTTTTTCTTTGTACCTGGCAGGTGCTAAGGGGCCAATCTGGAGACACGCTGGATGCTGTGTACTGAGTATTTTGTATCAATGCACATAACATGGGCACAAGAAGCGTTTACCTCCAAACCCAGCAGCTTCATTCTTGAACGCCGTTCCACTTTCAATGGATGAGTCTGTTTCTGTAGGCAGGGAGCTAGTTTCTGTAATAACTTCTGTGATGCAAATCAGTTTTTTCCTCCGTGAAGAAGAAGTGGCAGCTGGAGCAGGAGCGGTGGCAGGAGCCAGGGTTGTAGAATATGGGGCTGGTGCTGAGTAGGTGCTGTCGCTGACAGTGAAGTCTGTAGTGTAGGTTTCAGTTTCAAAGTCTACTAGGGGATCAGAAGTGGTGATAATTTCTGGAACGCATGAGTTAACCCAGATATCTGTCAGGAGAGGAAAAAAATGAAACAAGAGATAAGGACAGTAACAGCCTTTGGGTTCGATCACTCCTTAGCATTTTGCAGTGTCTGCCTCTACAGCATGGTTTACAAGGCTTTTCATGATCTGATCCTGTTGCTGTTGTGAGAATTGTCAGCACATGGTTTTTATCCTTGCTCCTGCCATACTGAAATTCCTTCAGTTCCCAGATATTCTTTCTCCCTCATCCAGGCCTTTTCTGCAGTCTATTTTTGACTTTTAAGCCTCTCTACCGCTCTGGACTTAGCTAACTCCTACCTACCATTCTGGTGCCTGGGTAATCTTCCTGTACCTCCAAGTACTTCTCTTGTCACAGTTCTTGTTACACTGTCCCCCACTAGCCTGGCAATTCTGTGGAAGCAGGAACCCTATTTTACCTGATCACTGCATGTCCACCGCACCTGGCACATAGTACATGCTCAGTAAATATTTAATAAAGAGGGAAGAAAAAAGAGGAAAGCTGAAAAGCAGTAAAGAGTAGATGGAGAAAACAATTTACTCATGTGATGCCACTTTGAGATAAGACCTGTAAAAACCAAAATTTCTCTGTGTTTATGTGAAAAAATTGAAAGGTGGGGGCAAGGAAAGAATGTGTGTTGGTTTTCCAATCTGTTGAAAATGGTAGAGAGGAAACTAACATTTATTAATGTCTTGCTGAGTCAACCATGATACTAGGGGCTTAAACAGATATCTCTGTTATTAACTTTATCAAACTCATGTATATGGAAGGATACTGGTCTAGAGAGGCTGAATAACTCACTCAGACACACAGTGGCAGAGCAATGTGATGTGTTATAATATGAATTTGTGTGACTTTTTAAATCCCTGATTATATGTGGCAGTGCATAGCATCAGCCAGAATGATACCTATGAAGTAAAACTTATTCCATTAAGTAGATTTGCTTTTGAAAATTAAGTGAATTACCAATCAAAGTCATGGATAATAGTAATGCAGTGTTTTCACCATGCATGCATTAAATTCAGATTTTATACTGTTTTTTACTTTGAAAATACCTTTTTCAAATGGACAACATCCTTGATTGCTCTGCTTTGAACTTTTAATCACCTTTCCCATTCTTGAGCCCTTTTAAGGCTCTTTTTTCACACAGTGAACATTTTCCAATATCAGGGCAAAAAGGCAAGGTGAGCTCAATAGACTATCTGGGATACTAAAAGTACACAGACAAATAAGGGAGGTTCCCACTTCTAGGACAGGGGAAGCATTTTGGGGGAGCTCACTGGAGATTCAGAGGAGAGGCCTTTTGGTGGTGTATGGGGGGGGGAAATGTGTGCATTCAACAAATATTTATGTGGCACCAATTCTGTGCTGGGCAGTGTTCTAGGTGCTAGGGACATGATGCAAATGAGAGAAAGTCTCCATTCTTGAGGGCCTTCTGCGCTATTGGAGAAATAGAGATAATGAAAAAACAAGCCAGCAATTTCAGAGGTTGATAAATGGTGAAAAGAAAATTAAGCAGGATGCAGATTAAACTAGTGAGGGTGAACAACGAGGGACAGACAGTTTGGACAGGGTGAGGAGAAGGTCTCTTGGGGAGCTGATGCTTAAGCTGAGACCTGAATGATGAAAACTAGCCGGTCACTGAAGATCTAGGGCAGGAACACTCCGAGTAAAGAGAACAGGGAGTACAAGAGCCAGAAGTTGAATGAACTTGGCCCAGGGGAAGAATAAGAAATCCAGTATGGCTAAAAGCAGAGCAGAAGATCACCTAGAATAAAAGCAGGAACAGGATAATGCAGTCAGCTGAATGGCATGGTCTGAAGCTGGAAAGTACAGCTATGCTGGGAAAATGACAAGAACAGTGGATGGAGTGCATGGTGTGTGTAGGACTGGGAGTGTGGAAGACAGCAGATAAGGATGGGAACATGGGTCAGGGCCAAGATCCATAACTGCCGTGCTAAAGAGTCTGAAATTCGTTTGTAGGACAGATTTCCAAATGAGGTGCACAAGCCTCCAAAATGACACACGAAAGTTCCCATATATATGTCTATTTTTATGCCCAAAAGACCTCATAATTTACATCAGTTTCTCAAATGGTAAGTCATCCTGGTCTGTGGAGCAGCAGAGTAACATGATTACTGTGGAGAGATGTAGAGGATGAAATTCATAGGGAGAAGGTAAAATCGAGGAGGAAAGAAATTATGCCATTGCAAAGATGCAGGAGAATCCAGCAATATCTGGAGTCTGAAAATCTAGATCTTAGAAAGACTGAAAGTAGTCTCTAAATCCATCCATAGACAGCTGATAAAGCTATGATATAACCACTCAGTGAAGTACTATGCAACCATTAAAATGAGAAATATCTCTATGTACTCATATGAAGAAATTTCTAGGGGCCAGGGACTTAGCTCAGTGGTTCCACCACCTGCCTCACAAGCATAAGGACCCAAGTTCGATCTCAAAAATAAAAAACAATAAAAAAAGAAGAAATTCCTCGGATTTAAGTGTGAAAAGTAGTGTATGTGGTATTCTACTTTTTCTGTAAGAAAGGGAAATAAGTCATCACACACAGACACAGACAGACAGACAGACAGACAGACAGACACACACACACACACACACACACACTTTTCTTTTTACACAAAACAACCAGAGGATTACAGCAGAAATAAATAAAAATGGTGAAACAGTGTGGAAGTGTTAGGAGTAAAATTTATCTGACTATATTTTTTTAAAGTATATTTTGAACCATGTAAATATTTTACCTATTTAAAAAAAACGGAAATAGAACAAAAGTCACAAACAGAAGCAAATGAACCTCATTTATTTTAAAATGACAATATGAAAAAAATAAAAATGATAATATGACCACATATAGTAGCAATTTTTTTTTTTTTTTTTTTTTTGGTACCAGGGATTGAACTCCGGTCCTTGCACTTGTAAAGCAGGCAGTGGAACCACTGAACTAAATCCCCAGCCCCCTATAGTGGAAATTTTTGCAAGTCGCTTTTGCACACAATTCCCTGACCATACGTCCTTGCAATAACTAAAATGCTTACCAATAAATACCAATTTTCTCTCAGTAGATTTGTTATTTCTAATGATGTTGGTTTTGTACTTTCAGAACCGTTGTAAGATAAGAAAATGTACTATTTACTGGGAGCTAAGATTTTCAATATTGGAGAAAATCTATGCAAATATAAAACAAAGTAAATTAAGAAAACAATTGTTAAATTTGAGTTGGAAATATCAATATGAGCTCACAATTTACATACACACATATACTATATGTAGGCACAGTGAACTTTTGAATTATGACCAGCCTGACATATGAACAACTTGGGTTACAACCAGAATTTTAGCTTTTAACTTATGATCAAAGTCTTGAGTTAAGACCCTAATGCCAACTGCTTGTGCTTTCAGATGGTCTGAGACACAGATTTAACCCTTAAAGAGTTCTGGCAGGAACATTACAGCACCCTTTCCCGTATGGGTTTAACTGAGAAATCCTGGGCCACTGTCTCTCTAAGGATACTGAGATCTGCCTGGATACGGGGGAGACCTCATCGACCAACAAGTGTTACACAAACCAGCCCTCACAGACAAACTGACTTCATAAGTCAAGGGTCCACTGTACTTTCCTGGCGGTGCATTGAAAAGGATGGAGGAAGCTCCAGTGAAAATGAGAACAACTTGCATGCCGATCTTGGTTTTTCACTACATTCCCATTAAAAACTCAGGCATCCTTTAAGAAATAAGTGATTGTTTTCACATCTGGACACAGAAAGTGCAAAATGGCCCGGGACATGTTGGAATGCTAGGAAGTGAAGAGTTACTCAAAACTGAAGAGATAAAGGACACAAGAGTCAACTATCTAGAAAGTGATGACACTTGCAGATTTGGGACAGTTTGAGCATCCAAAAGAATAAAAGAATAATGATTATAACAGGGCTGGGGATTTAGCTCAGCGGTGCTTATATATATATATATATATTGACTATAACATATTGAACAAATAAAGTATCATGTGTTCATGGTAGAATAGAGGGATAAGTGTTGCGTGTGTATGTGTGTGTATGTGTGTGTATGTGAAAGAGAGAGTTTTTTTCAAATGCTAACTAGTAAATGTAGAAGAAAGGATAAATTTAGAAAAAAATATCATCTTGCAGCCCCTATATAATAACTGATACAGCAGAGATCATTGATGGTAGCTTAAACTGTTAGGTAGAAGTAGTTTGCCATCAGGATATTTACATGGGGCTCACATTACATACTAATTGCAAAGAGGCAGCTACACCACTGTAATTTTATTGGGGGATTGACAGTCATTCAAGTGTAATAATCAAGTGAGTAAAGTTAGCATAATTAATAATGGGACATAGCAACACTGAATGTCTTTTGCTGTGATGTGACCCCAAGCATACAATATCTCCCATAAAATATTTTTGCCAAAAATATTGACTATGAGTCTAATTAAGCTACTTGACCTAAATTTCAGTATATAGGAAATACAGGCTTTGAGAGTACAAGCTAAAACCAGGAGGAAACAGACAAATCCAAGTCTTCTTCTTCCTTTTTATTTGATCCAGAGAGCTGGCATCATATCATCACAGTGGCAGCTGGCAGGAAGACTAGGCAATCAAAAGGCAAGGCCATTTGGCAGTCAGGGCTGACTGTGAGGTACACAGACATGTGAATCACCAATTTTATTGGGGGATTGACAGTCATTCAAGTGTAATAATCAAGTGAGTAAAGTTAGCATAATTAATAATGGGACATAGCAACACTGAATGTCTTTTGCTGTGATGTGACCCCAAGCATACAATATCTCCCATAAAATATTTTTGCCAAAAACATTGACTATGAGTCTAATTAAGCTACTTGACCTAAATTTCAGTATATAGGAAATACAGGCTTTGAGAGTACAAGCTAAAACCAGGAGGAAACAGACAAATCCAAGTCTTCTTCTTCCTTTTTATTTGATCCAGAGAGCTGGCATCATATCATCACAGTGGCAGCTGGCAGGAAGACTAGGCAATCAAAAGGCAAGGCCATTTGGCAGTCAGGGCTGACTGTGAGGTACACAGACATGTGAATCACCAATCCCCTACCTAAGGATAACAAGCTTAAAGGCAGAGAAGAAAAGGAGGAACCTGAAAAAATCATGGAAGAAACTGTGTAGTCCAATCTTACTCTGTCACTGATTAACTATAGATTCGTGCAAGTTAAAGCTCCGTTCTGAACTATAAAAGTTTCATCTGTCAAGAGAGAAAATTGGACAAGGTAGATAGATGTCTCTAATGGCCATTCATGTGCAAAAGCCCTTAGATCAGAGCACTGCTTGGCTCCTATGTTGACTTCCAGGGTTAGTTTTGGGAACTATTGTCTTCCTGGATCTCTTAGATCTTAAAGAATGATTTCAAAATCTATCTGTGTATGACCACTCAGCATTTAACCTTAAGAAGATTAGATATATGGGTATATGCTAAGAGTAATGAATCAGACAGGTTTTTATGACAAAATGAAACAAGTACATAGGAAGGAAACTTTGATAAATGATGTTGGTAAAGAAGCACTTGGGCTAAGGCACCCACGTTTCCCTAGCAAGGTTTATAGCACAATTGTGTGATCACGAACCAATCAGTTCTACTTTCTAGGCTTCAGTTTTTTCCTTTTTAAAATGGAGATTGGGTTTGTTCTTAAAAATGTCAAGTGTAGCATCTGAGTTTCCTCGCCTGTGAAGGAATATGGGACAATGGGAAGGGTATGGTTGGATCTGAGTTGCATCTTTGTAGTAACAAGGCTGCTACGGTTTGGATATAGCCTGAGTGTGTCTTTAAAGATTCATGCATTGGAAACTTGGTTCTCCGTGTGGCAGTATTAAGAGGTGATGGGACCTTGAAGAATGGGGCCTGTTGGGAGGTTGCTATGGAGGAAATGGTGCAGCTCTTGTGAGATTCTGATTCTTTTTCCATATTATGTTGTTATCCTGGGTCACTCTCTGATTCCCTGTCCACCATGTGCTTTCTCCCCATCACTCCTGTTCCGGCCGTTGTGATGCCACCCACTATGAAGCCTTCCTCAGAGCCAAGCCGCCGCCGCCGCCATGCCCTTGAAGCTACAGAACTGTGAGCTAAATAAGCTTCCTTTCTCTTTAAAGTACTCAGTCTCAGGTATTTCTTTATAGTAATGGAACAGGGACAGAGACGTTAGAAAAGTGTGCTTATATCTGCTGAGCTAAATTTCTTTATCTGTAAACTGGGATGGTAAAGTATACACACAAGGAAGCTGTCCAGGTTCAGTGAGATAACCAACCCATCATGTACCTCTATACGTTTGGTTCCCTCCCTTCTTCTGGTTTGTCTTACAGGAAGTAGGGGTAGTAAAAGTGGTAAATGAACTTCCTGGAGTGTCTGCTCGTTAGGTTAGCACTCTGTCGCAGCTCCCCTAACTTTCTCCTCTGAGGGGCATGCTGCCCCTCAGTGTGGTCTGAGAGACAGTCTTGGGAGACGTAGATGGCCATTGCCATGATTGCTTCTGTGCTGCTCAGGGTTACTCTTCCCAGAAAAGATCACGGAGCCTGGACACCCCACGAAGACACGCCTTGCCAAAGGGAGTCCGACTCACCAGATGAGTTGTGACAATAGGCCCTGAACCTTTGGTGAGCTCTAGCTTTCCAAATCAGGATGCCTTTCCCGTTTTTCCCACACTTGGGGTTCTGGTTAATCCGAGGGATGACAGGGTATTGTTCTGCAACCCATCCATAACTGTAAAAGAATATACATGAGTTCAATTCACTAATGATTAAAAGGCACCGTGTCTGTTGCTGAACAAGGACATAGCACCAAAACAACTCTGGCAGCGTTCGTGAACTCAACTGTTTCTTACCTGCAAGTTTCAAAGCCAGAGAGCAGTGCTGCTTCGACTTGGGCTTTGCTGGCCAAAGTTAGTCCGAGCAGCTTGCAGGCCACCTGGGCTTCTGTGAAATTCAGCTGTGGGTCTACCTTTTTGTTCACAAGGGCAACTCCCATAATTCTGCATGACGTTGCGAAAAGCTCTGTAAAAAAAAAATCATTAGGTCCTCAGTTTGCTGCCTTCTTTGTTCCTGGGCCTCGGGCTGTCCCTCCTTGCGGGAAATTATTGTCTCAATGCAGCAGTGAGGTCTGTGTGGCTGGGATTGAATTTAGAAATAACAAGACACAGGCCAGGAAATTTCACGCAAGAATTGGGTAGATGGATGCTTGCTCTGGTCCAAGCTATAAATCTCACTGGATTAAAACCCATCTTATTCCTCTGCACTAATATTATAGATTGATGAGCTAGGTAAAAATATTATAGGCAGTCAGATAGAGCTAAGTCTTTGAGAGGGCCAGGACAAAGGTAAAACACACCACAACTGTGTGTTGACTGAAAACCAGGCCTCAAGATGGAGACAAGATGACCAGAGCCACATATTAAAAAACAAACAAAGAAAAAAATTGGGCTCAGTGAAATATAGATAGGCACTGACCACCCTGGGGGTGACTAGAGACCTCTGGACCCATCACCTCTTAGGAGAATCCTTGTTTTTTTTTTTAATCTATGTTTATTATGTGACTTGTTTTTTAATTAGACCATCATTATCTGAGTGACAATATGCAACCTTATTAGATGTTTATGGCTGGGGCCCACATTATATTTACGTGGGGGGCACCTTGTTTATCACATGAGGGTTTTGTCTACTGGTTCTTGGGTGGAGCCTAGGTGATGCAGTTGCCACCACCCTTTTTGGGCTCTATAACCTGAAGCATCTAAGACTTTGAGAAAGAATTCAGGGCTCTGCTTAATAGAATAGCTAGCAATACTAGTAATGCTCTAAAGCAGTGGCAGCAAACCCATGGCATGTGTGCTGTAGTGGACTTTTTGTATCATTGAAAGCTCTAAAATATCCGCCGGCACTGCTCTAAACCCATGTAGTGGGGGACATTATTTTTAAAAAGCGCTGAAAATCTTGCACTTGTAGTGGAAGATAAACTCTCTTGATGCCAGGTCTTCACTGACCACTGGGGGGCAGGCTTACTCAGAAGTTCCTAGAGGATCTGGGCAGGCAAAAAATCTTGCATAGCCGAGAAACTGTATAAAGGCAGTGGAGTTTAGAGTCAGGCCTGGGCTTGGATGTGGCCTCTGCTGGCACTTGTTCTGTTACCTTGGGTTAGTTACTTTACCACTTTGAGCCTCCATTTTCTTCTTTATAATAGAGAGTAAAATGTTACTTTACCACTTTGAGCCTCCATTTTCTTCTTTATAATATAGAGAGTAACACTATCTACTGCATAGGGTAAAAAGAATTAAGTGAATGCTTAACATAAAACTGCTTAGCACAATGCTTACCTTGTAGTAGACACCTATACATAATCATAGATAACAGATTTGCCATTATGTTATCCTCAGATCAAATGTTTTGGTTGTAGCCTGCTCATGATTGATTTTTCTGGGGAAGCTGAGGTAGTTGAACTGTTAGGATAGTAATTATATTTTTACTCAAAATCTAATGGACTTGGCAAGAGCGCTTTTGATCCCTCTGGATTCTGGGATGCATAGACCTGTATGAAATTGTCACATAGCATTATATTCAAGGACATTTTTCCTGTTGGGCTTTTCCTATGAAAATGCTGAAAGGACATTCCAATCTCCCAAATAATTGCTTGGACAGAGCTCTATGTAGTGGATGCCTAAATGCCTTGATCACTTTTGAGGTTGTGTTTCAAGGTTGGAAACACTGAAAAAGCCTTTCTAAGTTCTCTGTGTGATCTTGCTCTGCTCAAGAGGAAGGCATGTGTATATGATGTTCAGTATTTGTGAATGGCCCTGCTCATTTTCAGACCTTGCTCTCATCAAGAGAGAAGAGAGTCAACACCCAACATGAGTATTTATGACTAGGGTGTCAAACAACTGTGTATGGCTGTGTGTACTAATGCTAGTACCCCTACCAGCACTGACACTAATACTAATAGCAATACCAACAGTAATTCCACACCTGTCATCTGTTGATCTTGCACTGTGCAAATTCTGCCTCTTTTAAGAGCAAAACTGAGGCTCAGAGAGATTAGGTAACTTTTCTAAGTCCAAAGACGCAAAGCAACTAGGTGGCAGACTGGGAGCACAAACCCATTTTTGCCTAAAACCCTAGGTTGCTGGGTGTGGTGGCTCATACCTGTAATCCCAGAAGTTGGAAGGCTGAGGCAGGAGGATCGCTGCAAGTTTGAGGCTAGCCTGGGCTACATATTGAGTTTAAGGCCAGCCTGAACTACATAGTAAGACTCTGTCTCAAAACAACAAAGCAAAACAAAACAAAAACCCCCAAACATCCAGGTTAATTATGACATTGTACTGCTTCCCATATACTATGGGAATACACACAGCAGACAGACACACATGCAATTAATTACCCAGTTTTTCTGGAATTTGGCTCCTTTATCTCAGAAGCTTACTAGCACTCAGACCTGGTATGGTTGCTTCTTTGGAAATTGACTGCAAAGAGGTTTTGCTCTCTCTCTCTCTCTCTCTTTTCTCATTGCGTTTATTGGTACTTTTTAGGAATACAGTATAGTTACACTCATCATTAGGATCTTGTACCTTTACATGATGTATCTTGGTTCTTATTTTTTCCCCATACCCCTGCCCTCCCTTCACCCCCTCCACCCTTCCCTATTTACAAAGACTTTATTTCCATGTTTTCCTTTTCTAATAGTGTTTCTATAGTGTTCCAAAGAGGGTTTGTTCTTTATGTTACAAAGTGTTCTTACTACCCTGTCGTAACTAATCTCTGCTGTAAATATCATCTACTGTAGTGATAGACCTATTCTGGGTGAATAGACAGTGTTAGTTACTTCTACTGTGGTCAACTGGCTATTTATAAGGACCTTGGGCAAATCAGTATTGTCATGTGCAAAATGGGGATGATTGTATCTTCGCAGGATTTTTATTTGGAATTAAACGAGAAAACTTGCAGAGGCCAGATCCATAGCAGATATTCAACAAATATTAATCAATTTTATGCTTTCCTATTTCATTTAGAGGTAAAATTAGGGGATGGACTTCCACCCCTTCCTTGAGATTTCTTAGAAAATGGTAAGTATAGTAGAAACAGTATATGTTTAGGAATCAGAGTTGAATTCAAGTCTCAAGTGCTTACCACCTGCATGACATCGGGCAAATCACCAGGCTGCACTAAGTCTGTTTTCTCTATCAAATGTTTTCTCGAGAGGATTAAATGGAACCACATATATATTTATATCAACATCTCTGTATCTGTCTCTCTGCATAATAAACCTTCAAAGTCCCATCTCTGTCCACTGCATTGCCACCTGATTCTATCCTTACAGCTATGATAACTTTCAGCTCTTTCCAAATATTTCATCTCCTTAGGAAATTTTTGCCTTTGAGAATGGTGCAAGGAGTGTGCTGGAATTGTTATCAAGGAGCAATTTCCAAAATAGTTTGAGTAATAAAAGCATTGCGGAGGAAAGAGAATAGTTCCCCCACAAGGGAGATTTCAAGGAAGACCAAGTTTATTTAAAAGTAACAGTTCTGGTATTTGAAAAAGAAAAACAATCATATAACTCAAACCTCTCTTGTGAAATTAAAATACAATCTATAAACCGAACACTGAATGTCTGTTCCTGACGTATTTTATTTCTAAGGGAATCTTCCCAGCAGAGGAACAAACAATTTCCCCCTTAATAAAAGTGCTCAGATTTTCATCTGCCCAAAGCTGTAATAAGTGATTTGTGGTTACCTATTTTTTCCTCCAGTGCAAAACAAGTTTTCCATTTAGGCATCTCAAAAGCTCAAAAAATCCCTTTAGGTCATGGCTTTGGTAGGGAGCTGATGGCAAATTTTCAAAACCTATACTGTATTTTCATAAAAATTTTCCAGTTAATTTACTGCTTATTTAAAAACATTGCATTCCATTTATAGCATAGCAGACTTGAAATTAAAATAATTATAAATAAATTCTGAAAACATAAATAGGTCAATATTTACTGAAAGTTATTCTTTCTGAGGCTTAGTCATTGCTTTAAATTTTTCAATTTAATAATAAATGAGATATTTTTAAAACATTATTTCTTGTCAATGTTTATTTCAAAATATTATTATTAAAATACTCCATAACAAAAAATAAAAGTCAAAATGATGTAAAATTAAGTATAAATCATTTTGGTGAAGTTGACAATATGGTAAAAACATTTCTGGCTAAATAATACCACCAAGTAGATCTGTGGACTTTGAAGGTCGCCCCTGTTCCCAGAAGCCCATAGTTAAGATTGTAGTGGGCACAGGACAGTTTCCAAGACCTTGCCTGGCCTCAGCTTGCAGATCTGGTAAGAAACCTACCTTGTACCCGGACAGAGCCTTGGACCAGAAGCCCTGTGGTCCATATGGTGGCAATAAGCAGCATCAGGCTGAAACACTTGATCATTGTGCAAAGCCCTGGGAGCCGGGGAGGCACTGCAGATGGCCACAGGCACAGGCAGTAAGGGAGAGGATGCTCAATCACCAGGCTGGATGGAGAGTTCTGGAAATATGTAAAACTGCTCTACTTCATAACTGAGACATCCGGATTTCCCTGCTTTCAAGCTGTGACTTGTCAAGGTCACTGGGGAAAATGAGTGATGTCCCTCGAATGCCCAGGCTGTACTTTGTGGATGGCTTTCTGGAAAATTTAGCTAATGCTGACTCAGAAAACACACAAGTGAGGAAGGCAGATAGCAGAGCTGCAAGTTTTCTCAGTTCCCGTATTCCCTGCCCCGGCCTGCCCTGGGATCTCAGTTCTCCCATGTGCTTTGTTATTGCGTATGGAGCCCATTCATTCATTTATTCCTACGAATGTCTGCCTCTAAAGGAGATTAAGCACAGTTTGTGCTTCTTTCCCTCTCACAATCAGTGATTTTTTTTTTT